ATTCACTTAAAGGTTATACAATGAGCAGTACATCAACTGCATCTTCAAGATTACACAAAACAAACAAATGGTCAGCAGCCCAAGTCAACATTCTCAAGCGTAATACTACCTACCAAAATACTCATGTATCTGCCCAATCCAATGAGACCCTAAGTAATAAAAATGGCCTAGACTCACACCAATTAGTACTACTAATACAAACATGCAGACATCACAATCACTATTAACTGTGTCACCTACACATATAGCTACTACTATAGACTTTACTGAAACAACCAAACTATCTTACAGTCAAGTTATATGTAAAAACTTTAATCTACCTACCTTTGAGGTACCTGATAGTACTGCATGGGTATAGTAAATTGCAAGCAAAATTGTACAAGATACAAAACAACTATTTGACTTAAATAACTAGACATACGATGCTATTGCTACTTTATTTCAAACTCCGAATAGTATACACCAATTGGTGTAGCATAAAATTGGCTCTACTCCTACTTAATTTGAAATGCCTTCAGCAATTTATCTAAAGTTTAAATATCTAGATACAAGATTCTTTATGACATTTTCTAGAAACTCTAAAACTATGCTAGCACATCAGAAAGAATACACAAACCTATATAATACAGTACTAGCCAACTACAAAACCAACAATTAGCTTATGATTATAAATCAGAAGGCACATAAAACTATTTACACTATGCTTAAAAGGATGCTTATGATACAACATCTTGCCAACACAAACTTTATCACAATCAGCCAATTTGCTGTACTAATTTATTATGCAAGAGAATTTCTTCAAATCACAAATGAAATGATAATACTCCAAAGGAAATCAAGAATACCATACTAAAAGCATTTTAAGAAAAACTACATTCACTTTCTACAAGCCCTGATCTTATACCTGGATATGTTACAAAAGAGTTTTCTTTTACACTCCCAATTAAGCAACAGTCATATACAACAGCAATTGTTAACTGTTTAAGAAAACTTTTCAAGTTAAACAAACTACCAGATACTTATTTCCAAACATTGCCTGCTCTACCTGAAGATGTCAATGATTTACTATCTCAACTCAAACAATATTTTTCTATAACAAACTGGCAATCTTTTCAATAACTGTCATTCTATAGACAGAAGTTAACAGACTGCTATATTTGTGAATCTATTCTAATATCATATTTTCAGCTACCTCCTCCCAAGCAACTATTACCTACAATATACCAGAAATTAAACCAAGTGTCAGAAAATATTTTTCTTATGACTCTATATGTATATATATACCTTTATTAGAAGTTATCTATCAACTTAGACAATACTACAGATTTGAACTTCTTTCTAGTAATTACTTTGTAGTTAAACTATTACTTCCAATTAACTCTGGATAAATTAAAACATATAGTCAATATACCTATCCTATTATACAGAACGATATCACAAAAGCCTATATTAAAGAAGTCTACAATATTACAAAATACACTACCCACTTTCTGA